CCTTTGGTCTTCTCTTCTAACATGAATAATTAAGGTGATACATATTTTTACCTCTAAAAAATAGTTAAATCACACAAGTTTGATATGTATATTTTTCTTGTTGTTAAATATCCCCAAAATTCTAATTTTCATTAGGATTTCTCCCTTGACTCATGAGTTATTTATAAATGTGTGCCTTATTTTCCTAAGATATGGTGATATTTAGTAATGTTTTGTTATTGATTTCCATGTGGTTTTTATTGCGGTCAGAGAAGATGCCATATATGATTTCATTTTTTTGAAATATGTTGAAACTTATTTTATGGCTCAACATATGGACAATGTTTATAACTATTCCAGGCATATATTCTACAGTCGTCGTTTAGTACAGCTTTCTAAATATGTCCATTAGGTTGAGTTTGCTAACCATGTTGTTCAAAACATCTATATGCTTACTGATATTTTTAGCTGCTTATTCTATCAGTTACTAAGGAGTGATTGTGTATTTGGCTGGGTTTTTTTTTAAAGATTATTTATTTATTTATTTGAAAGAGAAAGAGAGAGCAAGCAGGAACACAAGCAGGGGGAGTAGGAGAGGGAGAAGCAGGCTTCCCACTGAGTAGGGAGCCTGATGTGGGGCTCGATCCCAGGACCCTGGGATCATGACCTGAACCAAAGGCAGACGCGTAACAACTGAGCCACCCAGGCGCCCCGACTGTTTTGTTTTCTGATCTGTCAATGTTTGCCTTCTGTATTTTAAGGCTAATAGCAATTGTTTATAGCAATTCAAAATTGTTATATCTTGCTGGTAAATTGAAACTTTTATAATCATGAAGTGACCTTCTTTGCCACTAATAATACTTTATGCCTTAAATTTATTTTGCCTAGGGGCTCAGTTGTTAAGCGTCTGCCTTCGGCTCAGGCTCAGGTCGTGATCCCACAGTCCTGGGATCGAGCCCTGCATCAGGCTCCCTGCTCCTCAGGAATCCTGCTTCTCCCTCTCCCACTCCCTCTGCTTGTGTTCCCTCTCTCACTGTGTCTCTCTGTCAAATAAATAAATAAAATCTTAAAAAAAAATTTATTTTGCCTAATAGCCACACCTATTTCCCTTTGGTTAGTATTTACATATCCAATATATTTCTATCCTTTTGTTTTTAATGTTTTGTATCCTTATGTTTTAGATGTTTCATAAACAGCAAATAGATAAGATTTATCCATTCTGACAATATTGGCATTTTTACTGGTTCATTTAGCCCATGTACATGTAATGTAGTTTCTAATACATTGGATTTCATTCCATATTTTCTTTTGGGTTTTTTATTTGTTTCACTTTTATTTGTTTCACCTTTATTTGTTTCATTCATTTCTTGTATTTTTGTTGGTAGGTTTTTTCCCTCCACTGGTTTGTTTCTATTTTGTTAATGGTTATCTTAAAAGTTATAGCATGCATACTAAATGATCAAAGTCCAAAATTAAGCAATATCTTTTCTTTCTTCCCAGATAAAATATATCATTTTAATAGAAACTTTTAATAAATTCATTATAGTATTATATTATGTTATTATTATTTAACCCCACAAGATACTATTAATATTTTTAAATTATTTTTATATACAATTACTGTTCATTTATTTTTAAGTAATCTCTACACCCCACATGGGGCTTGAACTCATGACCCTGAGATCAAGAGTCACACAGTCCACTGACTAAGCCAGCCAGGTGCCCCACAATTACTGTTCATTTGGATTTAACCATATATTTACCAGGTTTTTTGTAATTATTCTTCATTACTTCTCCATTACTTCATTTACTTCTTTTTTTTTTTTTTTAAGATTTTTATTTATTTATTTGACAGAGAGAGACACAGCGAGAGAGGGAACACAAGCAGGGGGAGAGGGAGAGGGAGAAGCAGACTTCCCGCTGAGCAGGGAGCCCGATGCGGGGCTCGATCCCAGGAGCCTGACTGAGATCATGACCTGAGCCGAAGGCAGACGCTTAACGACTGAGCCACCCAGGCGCCCCTTCATTTACTTCTTAATTACTTCTCAGACCTTTCATTTGGGGTCTCTTTCCTTTTGCAAGAATTTACTTTAGTGAGAACTTACTGTTGGAAAACTCTCCCAATTTGTTTGTCTAAAAATAATTTTATTTACCTTCATTCTTTTTTTTTTTTAAGATTTTATTTATTTATTTGACAGAGAGAGACACAGCGAGAGAGGGAACACAAGCAGGGGGAGCGGGAGAGGGAGAAGCAGGCTTCCTGCAGAGTAGGGAGCCCCACACAGGGCTCGATCCCAGGACCCTGGGATCATAACCCAAGCTGAAGGCAGACGCTAACTGACTGAGCCACCCAGGCGCCCCTATTTACCTTCATTCTAAAAAGATAGTTTTTGCTAAGTATAAAATTTCAGGTTGGCAGTTATTTCAACACAGATAAAATTTCATCATCAAATGAATTCCATTAAAGTCCGTTTTAGTTAAACTGTAACTCCTTTGAAGGTAAGCAATCTTTTTCTCTGGCTGTTTTTAACATTTTATCTTTGCTGCTGTTCTGCAATTTTACTATGATTAGTCTAGATGTGGATTTCTTTTTATGGATCCTGCTGTTATTCATTGAGCTTCTTGAATCTGTGGCTTGGTATCTTTGATTAGCTCTGCAAAATTCTTAATCATTATCTCTTCAAATATTGTCTTTGCCTTAATCTCATTTTCCTCTTCTTCTGGAATTCTAATTAAACATATATTTTTTTAAGATTTTATTTATTTATTTGACAGAGAGAGACACAGCGAGAGAAGGAACACAAGCAGGGGGAGTGGGAGAGGGAGAAGCAGGTTTTCCGCTGAGCAGGGAGCCCGATGCGGGGCTCAATCCCAGGACCCTGGGATCATGACCTGAGCTGAAGGCAGACACTTAACTGACTGAGCCACCCAGGCGCCCCATAAACATATTTAATACCTATCATGCTATCCTCCATGTCTCTTGACCTCACTCCATATTTTCCATCTTTTGTCTCTCTATATTTTGAGTATTATTTTCCGATTTCAATTTCACTCTCTCCTCAGTTACATCCAATGTATTCTTTACGTATTATGTTTTTAATGTAGGATCAAATTTCTCATTTCTATAAGATATATATCTTTTCAAATATGATAGGTGACTTTTTTTTTTAAAGATTTTATTTATTTATTTGAGAGAGAGAGAATGAGAGACAGAGAGCATGAGAGGGAAGAGGGTCAGAGGGAGAAGCAGACTCCCTGCCGAGCAGGGAGCCGGATGCGGGACTCGATCCCGGGACTCCAGGATCATGACCTGAGCCGAAGGCAGTCGCTTAACCAACTGAGCCACCCAGGTGCCCCGATAGGTGACTTTTTAATAGTTTCTTATTGCCATTGGTATTATCAAGCTCATTTTCAAATTTCTTTAAATGTAATGAGCATATATTTATAATCTAGTCTAATAATTCCAATAATGATATCCTCTTTCTGCTGTTTGTTGTTTCTGCTTATTCTTGTCATTTCTTTATATGCTTTGATATTTTTTACCACTCATTTTCTTTAAAAAGTTATTTGTGGAAATGAAGATGACTTCTTCCAGAAAAGACTTGTGTTTAATTCTGACTGACATCTAGGGACACAACCAATCCTGGACCCTCTCAAACTAAGTTTGCAATTTGAGATTCTCTGAAATACCCAGATGATGCAAATCCAGGCTGAGTTCTCTGAAAACACAGGTCTATGGCCATAATATTTCAGAAATTTTTTCTTTCTTTCTTTTTTTAACCTCTTCTTCACTCAGTACCAAGAGTCTTCTCTTTATCCCCTGCAGGTGAGGCAAGAGTATGGGTTTCCTGATGATTCACTTTTACCTCAGTGATGTAGCATTTTGAGATTCCAGTTTAATATGGGAAAGATCTCCTTTAATGAGATTCCCCACCTGAGTGGGTCCTTGGCCTTGACTTCTGGATTCATCAATCCACAAAGCTGGCCAAACTGAAGCCCCAGCTTGCCTGGATTTGCAAATCTCAGTCTCCTTCATGTGGGGCAAAATTGCATTAGTGTTCTGATACTTCACTTATCTCCCTGGGTCTCCCTTTTCCTTATATTTTGGCTTGAGCTTCTTGTCAGCAATTTGATGATTTTTATGAATGGTTTTAAATGATCTTATCCAGGGGCACCTGGCTGGCTCAGGCAGAAGAGCATGCAACTCTGATCTTGGGGCCATGAGTTTGAACCCCATGGTGGGTGTAGAGATTACTTAAATAAATAAAACTTTAAAAAAATAAATTATCTTAACCAGCATTTTAAACTGTTTTCTATGGGAGAGCTAGAGCAAATAATCTAGTTTACTGGATTTAAACCCTGTTCTCCAGAAACAAGTTTGGTATCACCATTCTTGAATGTTCTTCACCTATCTCATATCTAGAAGTTTTTACTACCTCACATAGTTTCAGCCTCTATCTATCTTGCTTGTGCTTCTCTCCCTCCATTCTTTCTCCTTTCACTGTCCCTCTCCTCCATCTTAGGAGCGAAATCAATAAATTCCTTGATCTGTTTCCTACAAAGTAGTTTTCCCCTTTATCCAAGACATCCAACTCCATAGGATCGTATCTACCTCCAGCTAGCTTAACTAGCATTTCTCCAAAAGGGTTTCCTTCCCCAAAAGGGTAAGCACAGTGTGTTTAGAAGTCTCTAACTCAGCCTGGAGAGATATAGAAACTATCAGAAGTGGGTATTGCTTGAGCTAAGAGTTCTGAAGAATGAGTAAGTGGAATCTCCCACATCTCTCCAAGCTCAAATAATGACTATCTCAACTGCCCCCATTTCAAAGCCATCTCTATCACAGTTTCAGCTGCTGAAACAGGAAATTCCTTACAGACATATGCAGTTAATGTATTGAATTTCACATTGGAATCAGGAATGTGAGATAAGGGAAATCCGTAGATTAAATATGAACCTCAAGTTTCTGAGTCAGTGTAACCTCCCTTAGACAAGTAGTCCCTTGTTGAGACTCTGAGAGGACAGAACAAAATTTCCTAGTGGCAATTGGTAGTTCTGAAGTTGAGCCAGCCTCATGAAATTCTGGATCTGTCTCCCAAATCTTCCACCAACTCCAAGGTACTTCTGAAGAAAACAGTTGTTTACAGAGCCCTAGCAAAGAAAAGTTAGATTTCAACCCTGTTCTCCAGTAACTTTCACATCAGTGAAACAGACATATGTACTGATAATTTCAGTACAATATGATGAGTGCCATAGTAGAGATGTATTTAATGTGTTATGGGCCATACAGAAGAAGTAACCCAATTCTTTGGGTAACTGGGATGACTACTGAAGAAGAGATATTTGAACTGTAGCTTAAAGGACGGATAAGGTGGGGAAAGGTAGGGACGCCTGGCTGGCTAAGTTGGAAGAGCATGCAACTCTTGATCTCGGGGTCATGAGTTTAAGCCCCACATTGGGTATAGAGATTACTTAAATAAATAAATAACTTAAAATTTCCCCCCCAAAATATAAATAAATAAATAAATAATAAATAAGCAGGCAAGCATGTCATTGTACAAGTAGATGTTCAAATAAAAGGCCAATAGTTTGGTGTGGCTGGAATCCGAATTTAAGGAAGAGGGAAGGGGACAATGTCAGAGGTAAGAGGGAACCACCCTGTTATCTTTCACTAAACACTTTCATAAGTACCCTGTATTTTTTAAATAACATTCTTCCTAGTTTGTACTTCTTGTTCAATGTCTGTTCTTCACAATATTCTTCCTTAGTACTGGGACATTAATAAATACTATCTAAAATTAATAACTCAAGAACAAATATAAGAATATCATTTTTAGTTGTAATAATAACAAGAACTAAAACTAAATAATAACAAGAACTGGGGCACCTGGGTGGCTCAGTCGTTACGCGTCTGCCTTCAGCTCAGGTCATGATCCCAGGGTCCTGGGATCGAGCCCCGCATCGGGCTCCCTGCTCGGCAGGAGACCTACTTCTCCCTCTCCCACTCCCCCTGCTTGTGTTCCCTCTCTCGCTGTCTCTCTCTCTGTCAAATAAATAAATAAAATCTTTAAAAATAAATAAATAATAACAAGAACTAAAGTTTAGTGACTATCTAAAGAAAGTGGGACTATGTTATAGGGTAAAGGGATTTGAGAGGAAACATTTTTTTTAAATATTTCAGTGAAGTATACTGATTTAAATGTTAGCACAATCAGTCTTTATATATTTCCAGAACCCCAGAAGATTCCCTTATGCCTCTTCTCAGTTAAGACTATTCAAACACTAAGATAACCACTATTTTGAGTTCTACCACCATTACTTAGTTTTCCCTGCTCTTGAGCCTCATATAATGGAATCATACAGTATTGTGGTGGTCATGGAGGATTTTCTTTAAGAGAACCTGCTGCAGGAAGCACAGTTAACTAAGAGCCTCTATCTGCTGCCTTGTAGATCTCCCTCCTGAGATCAAGCTTTCCTGGGCTGCTTCTAGCCAAAGGCTGAGCATGGGGGTGGATATTAGAGCCTGGCCAATCCTGCCTGATGGGGACTCCTCCAGTAGACCACCTCTGCTCAGGTCTGAGCAAAGAGACTCTCAGAAGTGCCCTACAGTCTGAGACTCTTCCTACTCAATCCTTCCCTCCTTCTCTCCTTTCATACGTTTTAGACCTGCATTGAAGCCTTGCCATTCCTGCTCCCTCGCCCTTTATTCTTCACAGGCTCTTCCCTTACTAAGACTTTTGCACATCCAATTCTATTTTGGCACCTGCCTCTCAGAGGACTCAAACATAAATATGTTCTTTTGTGTCTGGATTTATCTGCTTAGCACTGTGTCTGTGAAAGTCATCCATATTGTTATGTGTAGCAGTAATTGGTTCTCCTTTCTTGCATAAATATGCCACAATATATGTATCCATCCTAAAGTTATTGGACATTTGAGTAGTGTTCAGCTTGGGGCTCTTATGCTCATGTTTTTGTATATGCGTGTCTTTTGGTGGAGACATGCACTCCTTTCTCTTGGGTATGTGCCTAGGAAGTGGAGTGGCTGGCTCATAGGCATGTGTTTAGATTTAGCAGATACCGTCAAACAATTTTCTAAAGCAGTTCACTCCCAACAGCACTTATGAGAATTCCTGTTGCATATAATATTTTTACCAATCTAAAAGAAAAAACAACTCGAGTACCAAAGACAGAAATCAAATTTGTTGTATCATCCTAGCTTCATGTTTAAATTACCATTTTAGACACTGCTTCACAGGAAGACTGTTAACGTAGCCCCAAATTGTTAACAGTGGTTATATTAGAGGAAGAAGGGGAGATCACCTTTGAATTTGAGAAATATTTGAAATACTTTACAACAAGCATATATTTCTTTTACTTTTAATTACCTTGTCTTAAAAAATATTAAAGAGAAAACGTTCATGATGAGAGAACAGCAGTCTCCTCCCACACTCCCCACTCCCCTCAGGCCCACACCTCCCGGCTTGAATGCCTTTAATTACCTTCTAGTTTCCAAAGATGTGTTAGAATCTCTTATCTGCTGCCCCGTTCTCTTTATCATTGTGGGTTTACATCTTTTCTATTGTTTTACTTTATTTAGTGAGGTTTCAAGAGGGAGAGAAAATTAATATGACCAATCTGCCACTTTTAGTCAGAAGCCCATGCATACAATCCAGGCTGACTTTTGGACATTATCATGTAGGGGAAGTGATGTATTGAAAAACAGTTGGCTGTTTGTTATAAAGACACTGTTCTGGTGATGGGGGGCGGGGCGCTGGGGGTCAGGGATGGCCTGAGAGGGGAGCACCCAGAGGCTTGTGGGGAGAATGGTTCAAGGGCTAACATATAGTTAGGAAGGCACCGAGGTCGGCTTCTCACCCAGCTGCAGCAGGAGGGAGAGAGCAACACAGAGGGCACAGAGAAGTCGTGCGTTGGGGTCCCAGCCCATATCATGGGGCTGCTCACTCCAGTTCTGCTCCAGGACAGATCTACCTGGAAAGAAACATACCAGACTGTAAAGCTAGGAACAAGGAGACATACCAGAAATGGCAAATACTTGGCCACACTTCTTGATCCTGGGTGGTGGCAGATGTAGTAATCCATTATGGCACTTTTTCCTGCAGATCCTGGAAAGCCTTATACTCGCTCAACATAGTGACAGGCACTGCTGATCAGTGTTGGCACTGCCATCCTGGGACTAACAGCTCCCCCCACCCCACCCCACCCCCGCCCATAGGCTAGCAACAGAGTCTAAAAAGCCCACCCCAAGTTGTCTTGGAAACCAAGTGTTCCAGGGAATTGCCACAGGCCAGCTGAATGGATGCGAGCCGACAGAGAGCTATGAAGTAGGAAGAACTGTACCCTGGGACTTCTGAGTCCCTTGCGAGCACGGCCATTCACTTCTACTCTGACCCTGGCCCTCAGCCCAGGCTGTCTTACCTGGTCCTTCAACAGGGGCAGGGTCCCCTTCTCTAGGGCCTCAGCCACAAGGTGCTGCTCCTCAGACGCTCTGGAGGCAAAAAAGAGGGTGAAGAGGGTGGCTGGCAGAGAGGAGAAGCACCCAGTGGGTGGGGGCTTCAGTGTCTCATCAGACCTGGGACAAGCACCAGAAGGAGGTTCCAGAGGGCCCCTGGCAGTGACAGATGAGTTATTCCAAATGGGCTCTTGCTATGGCGCCTGCTTCCCTCTTAGCCTGCAGGAGGCCAGACTGTGCCAGGAGGTAGAGGAGGCATCCCCTAATCCCTGGCCTAGGGAAAATGGCCATGTTCTAAAATGTGAAGGTCTATCATGCACAAAATGTAAAAGGCAATGTATGCCCCCTTCCTCCTAGGATTTGAATCCCCACAGACCCTCTGCTCCGCAATTCCTCCACACCAGCATACAGCCACATCCCTCCTCACTAATCAAAGCATCCAGGATATCCAGAATGGATTCTGTATGTGCCTTTACCAAGAACCCAGCAGCATTGAAAAGGCTACTTATGAGAAGACCCGCTAGACCCTCCATCTCTAGATGAGTCTAGACCCAGAGATCAGAACCTCAAACACCTAGGGCCAGGAAATAGGGAAATGAGCACCAGTCCCACTTTAGCAGAGAGTGGCAACTGCCCTCTGAGGCAGCTTAGCACATCTTTTTGTTCCTTCTCAGTCAGATCCTACAGGCCTCTCACCATGTCCTGCTCCTTCTCCTTCATGTTTCTGAAATCCTCTAAACTCAAGGACTTCCCTGTAGAGACAGCAATTAAGAGCTCAACTTACCCTTGGGGCGCCTCGGTGGCTCAGTCGGTTAAGCAGCTGCCTTTGGCTCAGGTCATGATCTCGAGGTCCTGGGATCGAGCCCCACGTCAGGCTCTGTGCTCAGTACAGAGTCTGTTTCTCCCTCTCCCTCTGCTACTCCCCCTGTTCGTGTTCTTTCTCTCTCTCTCTCTCTCAAATAAATAAAAATCTTAAAAAAAAAACTCGACTTACCCAGCCAACAAGGGTTTTTTTCCTGCCCACACACCGATTCCCACCCCCGGGTGCACCCTATTCTATTCTCAACCCTAAGAACCCTATAATTCCGGGCCATTTGTTATGCTCTTTTAAAAAACAGTATCCTTGCCCATTCTGGAAGGATGAACAGAAGGCCTAGAAGCCACTCACCTTCTGGAAAGGCTTTTGTGTTGCAAGAAACAAATTATCTAAACTAGTGCCAGAGAGAGAGAGAGAGAGAACCAATTCTCAGAAAGACAAATTCTTTCTCTGTCTCTGTAAGTTCCTCTTTCATGTTTCTCCCCAATCCTTACACTCTGCCCCTCACCAAAACAAAAAATAAAAACAAACTAACTCAGAAAGAGATAGGCATTAACACCTCTAGCTAGGGAAGGATTTGTGTCATGGTGGGGCAAATCCTGGGTGTCTGAGCAAAGAGCCTCAGTCCTCCTACCCAGCCCTGAGCCCTCCCCCTTCCCTGGAACTTCCCCCTACCTTCAAGCTCACCAGGGCCCCTCCAGGCTGACACAGAGCCTAGCTGAACCTCCCCCCACCTCCCCTGCCCCCACCAGGCCTTGCTTACTCATTCTTCCCAGGCTGGGGAAGATGAGCTGCTTTACTCCATAGCCCAGGACCCCCTTTAGGAGGTTGGTCACTCACCTTTGGTGTTAGGAGAAAAGAGCTCATATTGATTAATCCCTAGGTGCTTTGCGTGGTTGTCTTGCTAGATCTCCCAAACAATCCCTGTTTTACAGATGAGAGAACTGAGACTCAAAACAGATCAGTAGGGGCACCTGGGTGGCTCAATGAGATGAGCATCTGACTTTGGCTCAGGTCATGATCCCAGGGTCCTGGGCTCCCCCGCAGTTGGGCCCCCTGCTCGGTGGGGACTCTGCTCCTCCCTTTCCCTCTGCCCCTCCCCCTGTTCGCGTGCTCTCTCTCACTCTGTCAAATAAAATCTTAAAAAAAAAAAAAAGATCAGTAGGTAAGCCACTTTCACAGTGTACAAAGTAGCAGAGCTGAAATATGAACCCACATCTGACCCCAAAACTCATGTCGTTTCCACTGTTGATTCAATAAATGTCTATTGAGGACCTTTTTATTCCAGGCACTGTGGCTCCTGCCTTCCTATCTCTCAGAAAAGGAGGCAGACAATAAGCAAAAAATCCCCATGTAATTATGAACCGTGAGAAACGCTGAGAAGCAAATGAAAACAGGGCATCACATGAGAGTAACAGTGGAGGGACTTAGCAATGCCACACACACTTTCTTGGAGCAAGAAGAGAAGGCCTAAGAAGGCCCAGGAGCAGCTGAGATTGCTCAGGGAGGTCTGGAAGAAGCGCTGAAGAGCCTGAGGTCTGGGCTGGCATCCCCTGACCTACCATGGGTGGGTCAAGGCTTGGTTTGCTCGCCGGCCCTGCCCCCCAGGGTCCTAACCTTGCATTCACCCGGCTCCACAACGTACACAGCCGTTCACTTTTCAGGGTTTCCTTCCTTGCCATCTCCAGAATCTCTGTCACCAGATACAGGTCTGCTCTCATTCTCCGGATTGATTGCAACAAAGTGGGGAGTCTTCTCCTCAGCTTCCTGGAGGGAGCAGAGGGGGGACTAGAGCTCAGGATCCCAGGAGCCCCACCTACCAGTGACATTTCTCCCTCTCCTTCAACTAGTTCCTATTTGAGATGGAGTGTCTCTGAGGCTGGAAAACCAAGGCAGATGGCACCCCATCATAGTTCACTGTACCCATGGGGCAAGGAAGTGGGAAGTGGGAAGGGAACTCAGTAGCATCTCTGGAAGATTATAGTGTGCCAGCACCATGAGATACTCCCCACATCGTTTCGCTGCCCCCTCACCTCAATTCTATGATGTAGGCAGAACTGCACCCATTTCTCATGAGGAAATTGAGGCCTAGAGACAGGTTGTGAATGGTCCGGGGTCACACAGCTAGTAAGTGTAGAGTTGGAATTCAAACCCTAGTCTGTATGAGTCCAAAGCATGGGCCCTTCCCGTGGCACTGAGACATGCATTTTCCCAGGTCATAACACCCACTTCTCTGAGATGTGGCTACAATTCCTCACATTGGTCCCTGGGACCTGGCCACACTGTCCACAGCCTTGGGCTCCAGAAGACATCTTTGATTCCATAAGGATATAAAAATAACTTGATGGAACGTCATCCAAATTTGCAACCAAAAGACCCTCAAGGAAGACCTACATCCTTGCCTCTGCTAAACTCCCTCTACCTAATAACCTCCCCCCAATTCTTTATACACACACCACAGAGCCTCATTCTAGAAACAACAGGCATTCTAGAAAAAGACTGAGCTCCCTTAGAAAAACTCCAAAGACCCCTCCCCAGCAACACTATGGTAGGGAGGGGTAGTTCAAAGGATCAGTAAAATTTCAGTGTAAGTCTTTCACTTTTTAACTAAAAAAGGAAAACAAAAGGCATCACCGGGGCGCCTGGGCCGCTCAGCTGGTTAAGCGACTGCCTTCGGCTCAGGTCATGATCCTGGAGTCCCACGTCAGGCTCCCTGCTCGGCAGGGAGCCTGCTTCTCTCTCTGACCCTCCCCTCTCTCATGCTCTCTGTCTCATTCTCTCTCTCAAATAAATAAATAAAATCTTAAAAAAAAAAAAAGGCATCACCGCACTCAAGGAGGGCTAGCCCTGAGCAAGGTTGAGTCTCCTCCCTTGAGCTGCTCCATAGTTTCCGACAACTTCAGCAGGGAAAGAAAACACCAACAACAAAGTCCCTGCTGAGGGGGAAGGCTGGTGATGTCCCTGTAAGTCCCTTGGAAGCACCATGCCCAGGGCCATCAGAACCTCTGTGGCGCTCCGGGGTGGGGTGGTGGCACTTTCTGTGCAGGAAGCGTACTGTGCAGGGGTGCTTTGATTTCATTGCACTTCGTTTCGGCTGTCTTACTGAGCACCTACTGCGCCCTGGGGATAAACACAGCGGTTAGTAAAGCCAGTCCCGCCCGGTCGCAAGCTGTTCCGTACTCCACGGAGGGAGGCGGCATGGCTTGCCACAGGCGGAGTGCCCTGCACAAAGCACAGATCTGGGCAACTCAGTAGGAGGACAAAGGAGAGTGGCCTCTTGAAACCAGCAGGTTTTGGTCCAAGTCGGAGGAATCAATCACCCTGGAGGCTAGCAGGATGCAAGTGAGTTGGGGGTGTCTCAAGGTTTCCTGGAGGCTGATGCAGGAAGACTGAGAAGGCTTCCTGAAGGGGGAAGAGGACGGCAGGCTTGAGTGAGGAGCGGGCTCGGGGAGGGTTGGGAGTAGGGTGTGAGGGTCTGCACCGGCCAGGACCCTCCACCTCAGATGCCCTCGGTGCTCCAAGTGGGCGCTCCCCTTCTTCCTCCCCACGCTGCCCAACTCCAGCCTCCCGGTGCTCAAGAGAATCCAGATATTGTTGGGGTATCCGGGGCTCCAATATCTTGACTCTCTGCTTGTGGGACCTGTGGAAGGCCCCTACAGTTGTTATTTCTTTGGGCAATTTCACTGTCAACATTCCCTTTGAGTCTACCATGTCCAGAACTTGGAACTCAGCCTTTGGAGTTTTCTGGAAAGAGAAGGGTAAAGGTCATGCTGAGGCTGACCCAAAAGATCTCTCTCCAGGGGCGTCTGGGTGGCTCAGTTGGTTAAGCGACTGCCTTCGGCTCAGGTCATGATCCTGGAGTCCCAGGATCGAGTTCCGCATCGGGCTCCCTGCTCGGCAGGGAGTCTGCTTCTCCCTCTGACCCTCCCCCCTCTCATGTGCTCTCCCTCATTCTCAAATAAATAAATAAAATTAAAAAAAAAAAAAAGATCTCTCTCCAGAAAAGCCTCCCTGGAGCAGCCCCACCCTGGGCTCCCCTCCACAATCCCCTTCCCTTCTGAGCCACCTCCAGCTGCGGCTCCCAGGAGACACTGTGGTCACCAGGAGTCATCACGGGGTCACACAATCCTGAGTTTGAACCTCTTCTGCCACCTTCTTACCAAATGACCTTGGATAAGTCACTCTCACTCTTTGAATCTGTTTCTTCATCCATAGAAGAATACTGATAGTACCTACTTCCTGAACTTGAGGAAATTAAATAAAACAATGCAGTTTAGCACTTATTAGCAAAATGCCTTGCAAACATACTAAATGCTCAATAAATGTGAGCCAGTCCTATTTAACTATTTAAGAGGCTGCAATGAGACAAGGAAAAGTAAAGCTAAAGAATTAGGAGTTGGGCAATAGGAACTAAGCAGAGTCTAGTCTCTGGCGTTTGTACGAACCTGTGCAGGTATGAAGTCAAGCAATTCTGGAAAGTCACCCATCCGTGCGGACTCTGCCCAGACGGATGAGGCCCTTCCATAAGGGCCTGGCTTACCAGGCCTAGCGCTTTCTCTAAGACCACCCAGATGCGAACGTACAGAGGAGGAAGAGCTTCTACTGCTAGGTTGGGGGGTGGGGGGCAGGGCTGGATCTCCATAGAAACATGCATTTTGGAACTGGTGGAAACGTGACAGAACTGGAAACATGCCTCAAATCAGTCCTATGTGTGTGACTCTAACGTCCGGGCCCATTTGTTTCTTGAGCAACGTACCAGGCTGCATGTACCTTGTCCAAGAGGAAAGAGAAATGAAACGTTACGCACAAAAACAGCATAGTATGGAGAAGGGGGAGAAAGGCTAACTTTACAGGAGAGAAACTTTAGATAAACACCACGTCAGCCAGGTGACCAAGGTCAACACCAACAGTGATCAGTCATGTTGATAGCACATCCCCTTGCTATGACGCAGGGCGAATGGCACTTTACCTCTATGGTCTCCCTCCCCAAAACCCATTGCCTCCGTCTAGCCGTGCGAAAAAAACATCAAGCAAGGGCACCTGGGTGGCTCAGTCGTTAAGCGTCTGCCTTCGGCTCAGGTCATGATCCCGGGGTCCTGGGATCAAGCCCCACATCAGGCTCCCTGCTCGGCGGGAAGCCTGCTTCTCCCTCTCCCGCTCCCCCTGCTTGTGTTCCCTCTCTCGCTGTGTCTCTCTGTCAAATGAATAAATAAAATCTTAAAAAAACAAAATCAAGCAAATTCCAGTAGACAAGCATCCTACAATATCCCTGACCAGTCCTCCCGAAAACTGTCAAGGTCATCAAAAAGGAAAGCCTGAGGAATTGTCAGAGCCAAGAGAAGCCTCAGGAGATAAGATAACTAAAGGTAATGTGGTATCGTGGATGAGATCTTGGAACAGAAAAAGGATATTAGGTAAGAACCAAGATAACCAGAGTGAAGTATGTGGACTTTAGTTAACGGGAAAACAAAACAAAACAAAAACCTATGCACACTTTAACCATACCATCAGCACCATATAGTTAAAAAATAAATAATCTTTCATTTGTAAGGTTTTTTTTTTAAGTTTGGTTTCACCTCTGCCTCTGAATTTTTTATGCAAACAGACAAGACTTTCCCTTAAAGGAAGTTAACTGACTTAGTTGATTTTTTTCCGTACTTAACGCTCTCCCCTGTCCATGGGGAGTCATGGCAAAACATCCGAATCCTAGTTTAAAGTGTTTTTTTTTTCTGTTTTCAATGAACAGGTCATTTAGCAAACTGTTTTTTGGTTTTTGGTTTTTGTGTGTGTTTTTTTTTTTTTTGAGAACCAGCTTTTATTAAATTGCCTCTTGGCAATTTGCTTCTCAGAGAATTAACTCAGAGTCTTTGAAAAATGATAACCTTGAAGTTTGCCTGAAGCCCCTCGCTTTCTTAACGAAACTCCACTTGTGGAAAGGCCCACCACCTCCAAGTAATCTGGGCCCTGCTCTTGGTGACGTAACGGCAGTACCTGGCAAATGGCAGGTGCTCTGAAACTGTGCAGTGGTGCTCTTCAGATTCTTTTCCATCTCTTGGTGAGATGTAGGGGCTGTAGCAGAGATGTGTGAGCCGGAAAAGTCCTCACCCTCCGGTGTGAGACACTGAAGTAAGTCTCCCAGTGAGGGTTCAACAGCACTTACCCTGGGGCTCCTGAAATCCAAAAAAACTGAATTGGGAGGCAGGGGAATGGAACAGACTCCTCTATAAATCCTGCAAGTCCTTAGGGAGCCCTGGTCACCTACTCAGTCATGATCTCCGGGGAATAGGAGGGGCAACAACCAGCAGCAGAAGGATGGGGCTGAACTATGACTGCATGCTCCTTCTGCACAGCCACTGTGATAAATGATTTACCTAATTTGTCTCATTTGATTTTTGCAAGTCTTTTCAATTTGACAGATGAGGAAACAGACTTAGAGGGAGAAAGCAACTTGTCCAGGGGTCACCCAGCTGGTAGAAGGCAGAGCCAGGCTTAGAAACCAGGTGCTCTCGGCTCTAAGGCCTGTGTCCTTTCTTAACCACTAAGCAAATTGCCTCCATTTATTTATCCATCTAAATGATAAACATATAAACACACCAGAAGATCTCAGCTAATTTAAAAGTGAATTTTTTTTTTTTAAAGATTTTATTTATTTATTTGAGAGAGAGAATGCGAGAGAGAGAGAGCACAAGACGGGGGAGGGTCAGGGGGAGAAACAGACTCCCTGCTAAGCAGGGAGTCCGATGTGGGACTTGATCCCGGGACTCCAGGATCATGACCTGAGCCGAAGGCAGTTGCGTAACCAACTGAGCCACCCAGGTGCCCTAAAAGTGAATTATTTACAAAGGGGAAAACATGGGAAAGGAAGACAATTTAGGAATAATTTCCAATAAAAATAAATTTCCACTAAAGGAACAGGGGAAAGTTCCTTTCTCCCCATGCATATTTTTTTGTGCATTTTTTTTTAAGATTTTATTTATTTGATAGAGAGACAGCGAGAGAGGGAATACAAGCAGGGGGAGTGGGAGAGGGAGAAGCAGGCTTCCCGCTGAGCAGGGAGCCCGATGCGGGGCTCGATCCCAGGACCCCAGGATCATGACCTGAGCCAAAGGCAGACGCTTAACGACTAAGCCACCCAGGCGCCTCTTGTGCATTTCTTTTGTGCATTTTTTCAGGTTTTTATTTAATTCCAGTTAGTTAACATCTTTTGTGCATTTCTTAAACATGTGCATGGCCATCTCTTACTCCTCATACTGACCTTGGGGCCCAGAACCCAGCTTATCAAACAGCCCTTTGCCCTTCCCTCTCTCCAGTATGTCCTCCAGGGTGAGGTCTGTCCTGTGGTACTGGTGCCCCCAGAAATTTCTCCTCCCCCTCACCAGAGAGCAGCAGTGAAATCTGTCAGCATCAAGGATGCTTCTGACAGCAATCATATCCCCTCCAGCATCCATCTCTTGGACCACAACTCTTGTGATTTCCTCAAATACGCTCCACATTGTGCCTGGACCAACTGGAGAAAAAGAAGCTAGTATCAGTTTGGAGGAGGGGGATATTGGTTCAGGTTTTTAAATCTACCTTTGGCAGCCTGGGCTCAATGAAGACCCAAAGTTCTAGAACAATCAGGACTTGGAATTATTTGCCTTCCCTGTTTCTAGACAGTGAGGTAGTCACTACACACTAAGGAGGGTGACCATCACAAATGTTAGATTCTCCTCTGTCCTTTAGAGAACACTTCTAGAGGAAAGATGGAGCAGTGATTACCCCAAATGGAAAGGAGAGCGAGACCTATTTTCTGCCATCTCCCACAGCCGAGTTGCCCCTTTGCTCAGAGGGGCCTGAGGGGTAGGAAGGCAGGCTCACCATCTTCCAGCTAGAGCCCCACCAGTGTTGATGAACAGAGGACCCAGGAAGGGGTGCCATACCTCACATTGCCAACCCCAATGATTACTTCTTCCCTTGGCTCTGACTCCTGGGCTTCCCTCCCTTGCTGTATTCTGCAAGTCAGTGGATGGGTGTTCTTACCAACCGTTTCCCAATGAGATAGTAGTAAGTCGGCCTCAGAAGGAAACAAGAGACAAAGGATGGAGTGTAAGAGTGGCTTGGGGGTGGGTGCCCTGTGTAGCCCAGGTCCTGTCTCTTCAGTTACTGGTCAGCCTCTGAAGGGTTCCTTTACTCTGGGTAAAATAAAATGAATCCCAAAAGCCCACCTGGGGCATCTCCCCCACCCACTCTCCCCTTCACCCACTCCTGGTCTACAATTGGCCCCTGTACCTCTCTAGCTCCCCATACGGGACCCTCCATAGGCCCATTACCAGTGCAACCGGACACATACAGCTGGTCCTTCCCTGTTTCTACTCAGCAGGAGCTCTTTGTCCCCACCATACTGGACCCTTCAGGTGCTCTTACCTCCAAATCCTTCTTTTTTTTTTTTTTTAAGATTTATTTATTTATTTGAGAGAGAGAGAGGCAGAGGGAGAGAGGGAATCTCAAGCAGACTCCCCAGTGAGTGTGGAGGCTGATGCAGGGTTCAGTCTCACAACCCCGAGATCATGACCTGAGCCAAAATCAAGAGTCAGATGCTTAACTGAGCCACCCAGGTGTCCTGCCAAATCCTTCTCTTTCTCTCCCCTTCCTTCCCTCTGCAACTCCTTCCTCTTGAGGTCTGTTTCCCTTTCTTCAGGCGCCTCTGCTTTCCTCCTGGGGCCAGGACACCCCTCACAGGCTTTCTGGGCTCCGCCTCCCCACCTCTGGCCACCTTCCCTAAGTCCCTTCCGGCTGGCCCAGGCACCTACTCACCCATCATGGTGGCCAGCTCTCAGCTCACTCCCAGCCTGGGAATTCCTCTGGGTGCCCAGAAAGGCAATGCCCAGGACCCACAGGCCCATCCCAGGGGCCACTCACCCCAGCTGCTCACCAGGAATGGCAGCCGTGAGAATCCCCTCTGTAAGATCCCTGCACAGATGCCGGCCACTGTGTCTCAGGAGGCCCTGGGAAGGGAACTGAAAGAACTGGAAAGCTGGGTAGGGCTAGGGGCCCCACCTCTCGGGCGTTCAGATAAGCCACGTTCTGGCCGGGCTGGAGGCAGATAAGGCCCGCAGTTAGAAACTCTTCCTGCCTCTAGAACTCGGAGCAGGACAGAGAGATACCTATGTATTCCCCTGGTACGTATTCGAGGTGCGTTTGGGCCAGAGAGCAGTGCAGAAGGAGGCATACTGGGCCTCCAAGCGCGATCCAAGCGCCAGCAGGCGACGGCTGTGGGTGTGCCAGGGATATGAGGAGGGCGCTCGAGCCGGAACCAGCTACCAAAATGCCACGCTGTGGTGGGCAGGGCTGGAGACCGAGGGCGAAAGCCGCTAACAGCTGAGGGGAACAGGCCGGCCAGCAGGGAGGACTCGGCCTCCCTCCCGTGCTCCCACGTAGCCCTCCCGGCGATGCCTCCGCCTGTGTTCTCCGCCCACGTCCTTCTCCAGGCAGAGGCCTCCGGCCCCCACCCCCCAGTCCTCAGAGACAACCACCGAGTGAGCCCGGCCTGTCTTCTGGGACAAGCAATGTTTAAGGAGACGATTGCCGTAGTAACAACAGGAATCATACTAACGTGGCCACCCCGTATGAAGTACTTACCAGGTGCCGGGTGTTGTGCTTACCCTCCCAACAGCCCCGACTCGGATTATCCTTCCAGTGCAGAGGAAGAAACTGAAGCTCACAGAAGCGAGGCCACGAGGCCACTAAGCGGCAGAGCAGGATTTGACCACCGGTGATTGTTGATGTGCGCCGGACCCTCACCCTGACTGCGCTCCTGCAAGTGCATGGAAGCTCCCAGGGCACCCCCACCCTCACCACTGGGCCCAGGGGGCCGTATTCCTCCACCCAGCGTTGTGTGGGCCTCGCTCGCTGCACTTGGGCAAAGACCCTGCGCTCCTCCCGGCACCCACTCCAAGGACACTGACGCTGGCCCAGAGCCAGAGAGGGGCCCAGAATGCCCAGGGCGGCTCCTCCCTTCTACCTAGCACCTGGTTCTGCAGAGAGAGTGCACAGTGAAAGGCCCAGAAGCCCAAAGATCGGAGTTCCCTCACTAAAGGGCTCCCTCCTTTCCTGGCCCGGAGAGCCTAAACAAGTCTTGGAGGCTTACCTCCTCCCTCCCCAACCCCCCCACTCACGCTCGGGGGAGGGAGAGGAGGCACCAGTTCCCCTGAAGGCAGAAAGGCCAGGAGGAAATGCAGTCCTCCCAGGGAGGGAGCACTGAGGGAAGAGAAGTGAGAACGGGGAAGGCATCCTGAGGGAAGGACTGGGCACCCCTCGGGACTCCGGCTTCATTCACGAGTCACTGATCCCCTTCCTGGCCATGACAACCCGGCGCAGCCAGCCCCAGGAGACCAGAGGTGTAAGTTCAGACAGAGGAACCGGCAAGAAGGTCCGAGAGCAGAACCCTGCCCTCTGGCCTGCAGCTGCCTCCGCCAGTTCCCTCCCAGCCCCTCCGACTCGCTCTGCCCAGGAGGGCGGCAGCAGGAAGAGCCGCAGCCCCAGAGCCCCGGCCGCCATCTAGGCAGAGGGTCCCGATGCTCGCACACTGGCCTCAGCAGGAGCTGTGGCCCAATCTCCTGCCCCCTCCCCGGGGGCCCTCCAGGAAGCAGCCAGACTCGGGGGAAACAGAAACACATTGTCCTTTATTTGCGTTTCTCAGAATACTGTACAAAGGGAGTAAAAATCCTATTCACACATTGCTTAGAAAGATTTTGAGGTGAAAGTTCCCTATGATACATGGGGTGGGGAGCAGAGGAACCAGGAGGCAGGAAACGGGACCAATGACCTCCCCTCCTCCCTCAGGGCCCTGGGAGGGGGGGCATGGGCACCCACACCTTTTCAAAAGTAACACAGACCCTGGTCAGATCAGGCAGGGGAGAAAGCAGCCCCTCTCCAGCCCACACTCAGGCCCCTGCCCCACATCTCCCGCCCCCAGGTGAGGAGACAGCGCCCGCAGGTCACTCCTGGCTCCTTCCGCTACCCTGCCTGGGCGGGGACCATTCTGTGGCCCATGCCCCCCGTTTGGGGGTGCCCCCAGAGCCCCACAGGTACACGCCACACAAGAGGCCCTGCACCAGCTCCAGTTTGCATGAGGAGGTTACGAGGCGGAGGATGCAGAAGGGCCCTACCACTCATCACATGTCCCAGTTTCCCCACGCCCCTCACACCACCACACAAGGCAGTGTCAAACTGGACCAGTGCGAACGATGACTCACAGGCCTCTTCCACCCCTCCCCACCCCTCACACTAACGCGGGAGCTCTAAACCCCCCACAGCCTCCTGTCCTATTATCACCACCAGGCTGTGGGGAAATCTCTGAGCCTGCCCCATCCTGTCCACTTCCCAAAGACTGAGGTTAGGTCTGGCTTCTATCCCCATCCTCCTCCCTCACACCGATCTCTGCTGCTGTGTGGCCCCTTCTTTCATGTCTCAATTCTCCATCCCCACCCCTGCCCTAGCCGCCCTCCCCACCTCCACCAGGGCCAAGATGAGAGCGGACACAGCCCCCTCACCTCTGGGACCAGGCCATCCCCACCCAGCCCCACCATCCCTCTCCTTACCCTCCCCACTCCAATCCAGTACCCAGGGTGGGTGGTAGGGGAGCTGCCAAAAGCATGAGACTTGCAAAGGACAGTTCTCCACCCAGAGGGATGAGGCACCGTCATGCGCTTGTTTTCATATATATGAGCACACACTGAGTGTCATCCTAAAGACTTAAGAATTAAAGTGAAACCATCCAGAAGCTGTACCGTCCCCCCTGCTCCCCTTGCAGGGGTTAAAGTGCTTTAGCAGTCTGAGGATGAGCAAGTGAGCAGGGGATTTCTCTTGTCCCAACCTCACAGGTCTGCATTCAGCCGGCAGCCCAGCCCATTCCATGACTGCCCCCACGAAGTCTCTATCCAAAAGGCAAAAGGAAAAGATCAAAAAAATCAGAAAGGGTCAGAGACCTGGGGGGGCCCACCCGAACCCCACTACAAGCTACTTCAAGTCGGCTACCAGGGGAAGTGAGGGGGGAAACTAGGGCCCAGAGGCTCGACCCCCATCTCTAGCAGGATCCAGAGACTCCTTCTGTCTTCAGCATCACAGCACAGTCTTCTACTCCTCCCCCTGCCAACCAGACAGGGGAAGGGGCTGTGCCCTCAGTACTTATTGATTCCAAAAATCCGGACTCCGTGGAGCTGGGGCAGCTTGGGGATGAGCACACTCATCAAGGACACAGTGTTGAGGATGAAATGGATCTGGTCATACTTGGTATAGAAGCTGGTGAGGAAGTACCTGGGTGGGAAGGTTGGGAAGAGGCATAAGACTCTGTTTGGAGGACCCCTCCTCCCTCACTCCTGGGTGGGGAGTGGCAGATCCCTGATAGCTGAGGAGTTATGGGAAAGACCCCCAGAACAGAAGCAGGGTGGCAAGATCACCCCATTAAAGAGGTCCCTCCCAACCCAGTCCCCTTGCTTGACCCCAGGTCTGTGGGCTTACATCACTGGCAGGCAGAAAGGCCCATTTGGTGAAAGACAGGGTCAGGGAGGCACAAGGCCTGAGCCCAGCAGAGGACCCGGGGATACTCCAAAGTCCCTTCCTCCGCCCATGCCAAAAGCCAGAGCCGGGGCAGGTTTAAACCTGGCAGGGTCCAGGGTTCCCCAGGCCCCGGCCTGCCTGCTGGCGTCCTTCTCTACTGAAGGCACTCACAGCACAATGGGTGTGATGGTTAAGAACTTCCGAGACGCTGTGAACTGGACCCCATAGTCCATCTGCTCCCAGTGGGTTAGCAACCTCGCCTTGCCCTGGTCCGGAGTCTCGAAGGGTGTCCCCTTCACCGTGTGCAGGAAGATGTACATGCCCTGGAGGGAGGGGCCTTCGTTAGAGGACACAAAAAGCAAAAGGCCCTCCAGCTCAGCTCCTCCACCCCCAAAAAGTGGGCTCTGGGTTATGTGGAGCTGCCCTCTGAGGGGCAGAGGGCTGTGGGCTGGAGGTCAGGATGGAGCAGCTGGGAGCCTGGCAGGAGACAGAGGGGACCCACAGGGTGAGAGGGCAGGCCTGGCATGAGGATAAGGCATGGGGAGAACTTAGCTGCAGAAATGCCCCTCTGGCCCAATGTGAGCTTCCCTGTGCCAGAGAGCTGGGGACGAGCGGATGGCCCCTGCTTGCCTGCCAGAGTACAAGCTAGCAAGCAGGGGCTGAGGGAGCAGAGGGGCTGGAGTAGAAGATGGCTGGAGATCTGGACTCGGGAGAGGGGCATTTCTGTGCCAGGCTAGGCGCCTGGGTCCTGGGGACTCTCTGGAGCCCTTAGTTCAGCTCCTAGTGGCCCTCCCTCCAGGTCCCCAAGCCACCCCGTGCTGGAGATGTGCACAAATCTGCAGGTTGTCATCCTCAGAGTGCACGTGGCTGGAACCCAGAAGTCGGGAGGAGGCAGAGATGAGAGATGCATCCGGGCTCCGGTGACAGATGTTGTCAGCACGTCACCCTGACATCTGGCCCACGTCTGGGGGGGCTCCTCTGACTCCTCAGCCCCACCAAAGAGCAGCCCACATGGCCTGGGCAGGCAGCAGGCAGACCCTCACCATGTTGTGGATGAGGTTGGTGAGGGTCCAGACAACAGGGACGCTGACAAAGGGGATGCTGAGCAGCACGACATGGAGAAGCCCGATGGCCAGCACGTAGGACAGCCAGATGCCGCGGCTGTTCATCACCCGCGTGTTGGGGTTCACCTCACTGTGTGCCGTGCCCACATTCATCCTGCCGCCCCTCTCGTGCCACTGCTCTGCAAACAAGCGGCACAGGTGAGACAGGTCACACCACTTTCCCTGCCCCCTCACGCCACCCAAATCCCTCAGGGAGGGAGGCTCTGCTCTCCCCAAGAACTCCGGGCAGTTCGGCTTTGATTCTCAAGCAAGGAGGCCCAAGAAAGGCTGTGTGGACTTAACTCCATTCATTTCCCACCGCTCTCAACTGGGATAAACACCACCAGGCCGCCCCACACTGCCCCACACTGCCGGATGGTGCCCCTCCAGGCACTGGGACTGCCTGGGTGGATAGGTCATCAAGAGGCATCCAGCCCAGAGCAAAGAAACCAGTGCCTGTTCCCCAATCTCATCTTCCAGAACATTCCCATGAGGGTCCTCTTCCCAGAAGGTCCAGGGGAGGGGAGAAGAGGCCTGTCCCCTCAGAATCACACAACATAATCCCTCTGGACTATCTTGCTGAGGTCCTGATATGTGGCATCTCCTAACTCTGAGCTCCCCGCACCATTAGAATGAACAAAAGGGGGTGGGGCCCGTGAGAACAGGCAGCAGGAGATGCAATATATAGGGGTCATTGCTTCTACTCTCTCCCCTAATTCTCCAATCCTGGATTTCTCCCAACCCTGGTCCAGGAGAACTGACAGAGTGGAAAGAGGGAGAGAGGGAAGAAAAGAGAAGACAACAGACTACGGACAACCTCTGCCCAGACTTGGAGGCCTCTTTCTTGGTGACACAAAACAACCCAGGCAAGATGTTTTATCCTTTTGACAGCCACTCAGGCTAACCCTTGTGATGCCACCCACTCTGCTGCCAAACCACCAGTGCCCTTTTCCCCACCATCGGAGGGGCGAGGATGGAGAACGCGGCCAACGTCTACAGCTCCCACGAGTCGCTGAAATCCACATCAACACGCCCCTCCCAAGGACACAAAAACTACCCCTGCGGCCTGTCTCCTGCCCCCTTTCCTCTCTGCCTGGCCCAGCCTCACCTCAGCCTCTTTCCCCAGCACCTGCACCATGCTTCCCATTGCCCACCTCCAGTGGCAGAAGTCCTGCAGCAGGAGGACCCAGGAGGGCTGCCCTTGATGCCCCAGAAACAATGCAACCCAGTTGCATTTCTGGATGCACAAAAGGAGGGGAATGAGCAGCCCCTTGTCTAGAGCTCGGCTGTCCCCAGATCCCCAAGGGCCCTGGAACCAGCAGGAGGTGGGAACAGACTGCCTTTGTACTGGCTCACCTCCCTAGGTGAAGGCGGGTCCTGCCTGATAAAGACCTTAGGTCATCACCATGGAAACAACCCTATCTTTCCTGGGGGTGCAGAAAGGGGTCCCAGATGGGGGTATCCGGAAAGTACACAGAAGGCCATCTCCCTCACCCTGCTGCAACAACCCCCCTCAGATTCCGCTGCTATCTATCTCTGGCTAGGATCACAGCCAAGCCTGTGTGGGAGCCAGGATTCTCAAGGATCGGTTCCTTACTTCCAGAATAATGAGAACAAATTTCCTCTTCTCAGGGAGCTCTAGGCTAAGAGACCTCAGGAGAAATGTGACCCACAACACACCTTCCCAACATGCAAACATGCGTGAGATGGCCCAGGGTGCATCCCAGAAGTAATGCTCCTGGGGCCCATCAGCTCAGCCCATTAGGCAGGATAATTGGGCCTAACAGAAACCCAAGGAACTAGAAAACCGGGACTGGCTCGGTTATTTACCTTCCCAGGGCCTTGGAGCTTCAGTTGCCCTAACACGGCTCCTGGGACACGTACTAC